AGCAGAACCCACTCACCTCAGGGAAAAGCACATTACTCTCTGTATAGGAATCACCTCTCAAAGGTTAAGGATGCACCCCATATCCCTCAAATCTTGCCTTTAAGTTCTATTCCTAAATCTTTTTTGAGCCTACTTATGTTTTCAGCTAGTATTTACAGGCGTAGTCCCTGGAGGCCGGGCACTGTGGCTCATGCCTGTAATCCTAGCACTTTGGGAGGCTGAGGCAGGCAGATCACTTGAGGTTAGGAGTTCGAAACCAGCCTAACATGGTAAAATCCCATCTCTACTAAAAATACAAAAAATGAGCCGGGTGTGGTGGCGCATACCTGTATTCCCAACTACTTGGGAGGCTGAGGCAGGAGAATCATGTGAACCCGGAAGCAGAGGTTGCAGTGAGCTGAGATCGCACCACTGCATGCCAGCCTGGGCGACAGAGGGAGACTCGGTCTCACACACACAAAAAAAGTATAGTCCCTGGAGGAATAGAAAGATTTTAATTCCTAAGGAGGGAGCCCAAAGTGCTTCCTGGAAGCTTAAGGTACACGAGAAGGATGGGTCCTCTACTCGTGGTTTCATCTTATTACCTTGTGGTGGGGGTGCTTCATAGGCACTAACTTTGACTTTGTGTGAATCCATTTTTGCTATTTCATATTAGAATAATAAAGCAAAAAAGTAGAAAGGTGGTTTATGATGGGAGTGGGCATGGTTTTGACTTTACAAATAAAATAGCATTTAAAATTTTTACATTTAAACTTTATGGGCCATGTATAGGGTGAAGATGTAAGCATGGGTATCTGGATGGCAGCCATAGGACCTAAAAGATACCAGGTAAGTCTTTGGGGATGGCCTCAGGCTTCTTAAGAGTTGAGGAGGTGAGATTTCTATATACAGGTTGAGTGTCCTTTATCCAAAATGCCTGGGATCAGAAGTATTGAGGATTTCAGATTTTTTTGGATTTTAGAATAATTGCATTATACTTACAAGTTCCACATCCCAAATCTGAAAACTGAAATGCTTCAGTAAGCATTTCCTTTGAGTGTCATGTTGGCTCTCAAAAAGTTTTGGGCTTGGCATAGTGGCACACGCCTGTAATCCCAACACTGGGAGGCCAAGGTGGGCATTATCACTTGAGCCCAGGAGTTCAAGACCAGCCTGGGCAACATGGCAAAACTCTCATCTCTACAAAAAGTACAAAAAAATTAGCTGGGCATGGCAGCGCCTGCCTGTGGTCCCAGCTACTCAGGAGGCTAAGGTAGGAGGATCAACTTGAGCATGGGAGGTCGAGGGTGCAGTGAGCTGTGAATGCACCACTGCACTCCCACCTGAGAATAGAGTGAGAGAGACTCTGTCTCAAAAAAAAAAAAGAAAGAAAGAAAAAGTTTTGGATTTTGGAGCATTTTAGATTTCAAATTTTCAGATTTGGAATGCTCAGCCTGTAATGTATATCACACCATGGGCAGAAAGAATGAGGATCTTCTACCATAATAGCTACGCTGTTGCTTTAATTCACAATCATCCAGCTAGGTTATTTCTCATACAGTATTTTTCTGAGTTTAAAGCAAAAGGTTATAAATGAAAGTTCCCCTACCTACAAAAAATTCAGTTTCCATAGATTTGATCAGAAATTATTTTCAGCTTTAAAACTTTAAATTATTTTCAGCTTTAAAACAACAGAAGGCTGGGCGTGGTGGCTCACGCCTGTAATCCCAGCACTTTGGGAGGCTGAGGTGGGCGGATCACGAGGTCAGGAGATGGAGACCATCCTGGCTAACACGGTGAAACCCCATCTCTACTAAAAATACAAAAAAAATTAGCCGGGTGTAGTGGCAGGCGCCTGTAGGCCCAGCTACTCGGGAGGCTGAAGCAGGAGAATGGCATGAACGCTGGAGCTTGCAGTGAGCTGAGATCATGCCACTGCACTCCAGCCTGGGCGACAGAGCGAGACTCTGTCTCAAAAAAAACAAAAAATAGTAACGACAGAATCCACTGATTTGAGTGTGGCAGTCTAAGGATCCTTCAGCCCTTCTGACCGATACAAAGGAGACACTGCATGAAATATAAGACATCATTTAAAACACACTATTGCTGAACCAGAAAACAAAATGAATCTGCAGAGACCAAAATGGAAACTAGAGACCTGGGAAGAAACCAAGCACAAAGCTGACTTTAGAGATTTCTGTTGAGTTCTGGATTCTTGCAGCTTCCACTTTGGCCATCGAAGGTGCAGGGGACAGAAGGCACATGCAGTGTCTGTCAGTTAGAAGCCCAGCTCTGGGCCCCAGAGCAGCTCTCAGAAGTCAGCCCACATCTCTGTAGTCCACTTTGATAGTCCGATTCCTTTGTTGTACTTTCAGTCTCATCTTTGAATAGAATTATTTTTGTATCTGATACCTCTGGGATCTGTAGTCTTTGCTGGGTCTGATTCTGCAGTTTCCTGTTTCTACAGACTGTTGTTCATGGGGCTTGTTTTCTGATGTGTTGAAGAGTTGTGTTTGTTTTTGTTTTTTGTTTTTGTGACCGTGTTGTCTTTGGAAACTGAGTCCTTATTTAAAATGCATTCCTACAGAGAGGATTTACATTTTTTTCTACCATGCACTAGGAAAACTACCATCTATGAATACTTCAGATTTTTGACTTGGAACTGTTGGGCTTACACAGACTGACTACCAGCCCCAGACCTACCTAAGTGCAAGCTGTGGGTAGGCGCTCGGGGGAGAGAGACTCCTTTCCATCCCACTGAGGGGCGAGACTGAGACAGACAAGCCGAGTTTGTTTTCTTGTATACCCCCTGAGGCTGTGGCCCCTCAGAGATCCTCGCTCTGTGTCAGTCTCCCAGTAGTCTCCTGTTCCTGGGCTTGGCCTTTCATAACCCAAGGATCAGCAGCCGCCTTCAGGGCACATGCTGACTCAGCACTTTCTCCTACCCGTTTTCTTCTTTCTTCGTGGAGTTCTGCCATGCTTTAGAAAGGTGTTTCATTTTGCCCAACATTTTTGTGTTGTCAAAACATTGAATGAGTTTCTCTCTTTGTTCTGCTATATTGCTGGAAACAGAAGCCAATTCATGTAGCTAGGAAATAGTCTAGTGGTTAAGAACTTGAGCTTGGTAGTCTTTAATCCCTCCTCTTCATTTACCAGCCCTGTGACCTTGAACAAGTTACTTAACTCTTAGTTTGTTCCTCAGTTGTAAGAGGGAAATAGCTCCTACCTCACAGCGTTACTGTGAGAATTGAGTGAAATATTTACAAAGTGCTTGGGTAGAGTCCCCACAATATTGTAAGCATTCCATCAGAATAATAGCTGTTATTAATACTGCCATAGACACACCTTTAATAGCAAACACGAAACTCACTTGTAGTTTCTAAAATCATTCATTACGAAATTGCATTTGTTGACTAACTCTTCATCCACACACTGCCTTGTTTCTGTATTCCACAGCCACAGGACTGTGGGACCTGGTGTTTTCCCCAATCAGGAGGTGCCACCCCCAAACCTCACCAGTTGGTCCACACATGGAGTTATCCTTGAAGTAATTTCAGCATCATTCGAATAGATAAAAACTGTCTACGTGCAGACTTTCTGACGCTCTTAAAACAGTTTCACCACTCTCAGATCGGCTTTGGTTGTTTTTCAACAGGACAGCCTGTGGCTGTGTGAGAAGACCTGTGAGACAGGAATGCTGTCTTCTCCTCAGTATTCTCCATGGGAACTGACAGAACTGTGGAAACTGAAGGAACGGTGCGGTGATCCTTGTCGGTGTGAAGCAAGATAACAGGGACTTGAATTAGCAGCATCTAAAATCAGGGCAGGCAAACGATAATCTGAGTGCAAGTCTGAGGTGTCCCAGGGTTTAGCAGTAGACTATATGATCTTTCAAGAGAGTTCCAGACCGGCACTTTCACCCAGAACCAATGCGGTGTTTCTTAATGTTTGCACAAATTTTCTTCTTAAAAATCAACTGGTACTGTAGCATAAGAAAAGTTTATATATTGGAAGATTATCAGAAAAATACCAAGTTATTTTATAAAAAAAAAAAATTTCTAAATCCTGATGCATTGTGGCTAATTAGTAATCACCATTACCTGTAATTTTTGGTTAAAACTTGGCCCAGTTCAGAATCTGCAGTAGTAACTGAGAGTTTGAATTTCAACCTGGATTGCAGGATAGCTCTGTAGAGTTTAATGAGGATAATTATCAGACAAAAAGAACTCACAGGAATGCTGTGTGATCATGTGATCACATATCTGAGCAGTGGTCACTTATACCAAAGTTTGGGGTTTCTGGAAATAACGTCAGATTTTGTGGATCTCTGAAGTGGGCAACTTGAACTTGAAGAGGAACCAATATGATTCTCAGTTCTGAACCTTGGTTTTAAAGAAGTCCATTTATACGGTAGACTAATACCCAAGTTTTCTTTCTGCCATCTAACCTAAATCCTGAAGGTCACAGCTTCGTACTCATAGTTTTTAAATGCTAAATTTTTGTGAGTATGAATAAAAGCAAATACCTCTCAGGGTTTTAGTGGCATCGGGAAGGATATTTCTAAATTGTTGACATTTTGAAAGAATTAGTTTTGCTTTCCTCCTATCATTGCCTAAAGTTTACCTAATATGAGTACATTTCAGTCAGAGCTGGTTATCTTCTACGCAAGAAGATACACTCAGCTTAGGTATAATTGTAGGGAAAAGCATGTGATTAATTTAAGTACTCTTAGAAAATAGTGCAACTGAGAAGACAGATAATAGCATATTGTTATACACAGTAGAGGATGTGTCTCCCCAAGTTTAAGGGACATTTCCCAAAATGACCAGCCAAATCGTTTTAGTAACCCTTTAAAATAGTAGTATCAATAGAGAATTCCATTAAAACTAGTCTTATGACAGACATTAACTGTGTTCAGATTTTATTAGGCTAGCTAGTTTCTATTTAATATTTAAATCTTATCATGAAATGCAGTGATGAACTGTAAAAATAAATACGAAATACGATCAGAAAATTGTTAGTAGGTTCAAAGCCTTTATTACTGCTATTATGTATAAGCCTAGAAATGGTCGCTTCCCAACAAAAACTACATCAGTGGTGCAAATACCTCCCTTGTTATCCTTAGGGCAAGTTGTAAACCCCTTTGTTTTTGACAGAATTGTTCCAGTGGATCATTTATTTCCGATGAACCCCAGACATGATAAGCAGTGTAGTCTCTAAATTTTATTAGTTGGTTGTTACCATCGCACTAATAGACAATCTTCATTTTCCACAGAATAAAAACGTAATGACTGTAGGTCATTTTCCAGCTTGATTTCTATGCCCGGCTCCTAAAATTAGAAGGAAGGTAGGGAAGGATGTGATTAAGACAGATCTGATAAAGCATGTTACACATACTCTATCCCACCCCGTCCCCAGGCAGTAGCTTACCCTTAAAATCAAACAGATCTATGGTCTCCATTTAGAATCAAACTGTTGCTATCTAGAGACAGTTTAATGTCATCATGAGGACGAAGCTTGACTTTGTTTTTTCCCGGGCAACTTACTTTGGGACTTTCATAGGACAACAGAAGGTCTGACACAGGAACTTTGAGAAGACGTGACAGCCATCCCTTCACCTTTTGAATTGTCATGGAGCCTATCAAAAGACAAGAAAAGTCCATTCGTTCTCTCAAATGACACTTACTTGTAAAACTAGCTCATGTGATGAGACCACAGTATCATTGCAATGATAGCTGTATCTGTCTTTTTTTTTTTTTTTTTTTTGGAGACCGTCTCGCTCTGTTGCCCAGGCTGGAGTGCAATGGTGCAATCTCGGCTCACTGCAACCTCCACTTCCCGGGTTCAAATGATATCTCCTGCCTCAGCCTCCCAAGTAGCTGGTGCCCGTCACCACACCCAGCTAACTTTGGTATTTTTAGTAGAGACAGGGTTTCACCATGTTGGCCAGGCTGGTCTCAAACTCCTGACCTCGTGATCCGCCCTGGCCTCCCAAAGTGCTGGGATTACAGGCGTGAGCCCAGGGCCTGGCCGTATCTGTCATTTTACCCAAGACACTTTACCCAAGTAAGTAAGTAGGGGAAAGCCTGAGTCTTTGTACCACCTGTTCATTTGGGGAACTGTGGGAAACGGAGCCAACGGACCTAAGTGCCCTTTGACAGTGAGTTTCATACCATTTCAGTAGTGTGTTTCTTTCTTAATCTGAATAAACCAGAATGATACTCTCAGCACAGAATAAAAATGGGAGTGAGTCATTAACGTTTTCTTTTTAAACCTTTGTGATGACTTCCTTATGAATTACTGAACAAACAAACACTGGAATGGGACTCAGGTATCCTGAGGACATCTCTCAACTCTGGCCTTAGTTCGTCCTCTGTAAAATGAGGGTGTCGACTAAATGATCTACAAGGTCCGTTCCAGCGCCGCCATTCTGTAATTATGTCATGTGTAACTGTGTTAAACATACACAGGTGACTGCCAGGCATGGGAATGTAACTTCCGAGTCAACGCTTTGGCTTGTTCAGAATACACTATGAACTTCTTTCCAAAGATGGGTTATGGTAAATAGTGGATATTTTGATTATGAGAAACAGAGTTTCCTTGAAGCTTTAGCTGGAGATACAGCAATAGTGTGGTGTTCCTACAAATATCACAGTGTATTCAAACATATTTTTCTATCAAAAATCATTTTTGTAAAAGCTGTGTGTTTTTATGCAACTTGTGATAATAAATGTTATCTTTATTTTAGAATAAAAACTGGCCTTTTTGTATGTATTGAATACAGTTAATAGAATGTATAATTTTAATTAACAAAATTTGCTCTTTCATGTGTGAATATGTAATAGTCTAGTCCTTTCAAAAGATTTAGATGGACTGGCTTTCATTGTTGGAGCCTGGTTAGAGAAGGGGTTAACTGCTGCACACCAGTGGGAAATGACATCCTCCTAACACATGACAGAAACAGAAAGTTTGGTCATAAAACAATTCTAATAAGAAATCCGCCTGGCCTGCTCACACCTGTAACCCCAGCACTTTGGGAGGCAGAGGGATCAGAGCCCAGGAATTCGAGACCAGCCTGGGCAACATGAGGACACCCCATCTCTACAAAAAATAAAAAATTAGCCAAGCATAACAATGTACACCTCTAGTCCCAGCTACTTGGGAGGATCACTGGAGCCCAGGAGGTCAAGGCTACAGTGAGCCATGATCGCGCCACTGTACTCCATCCAGCCTGGGTAACAAAGTGAGCCCTGTCTCAAAAAAAATCTGCCTACTCATAACGGTTCTATAGAAGAAAGTAGCAATTTGTATGTAATAAATAGCATTACCATTCTTAATATACTAACATGACTGTCTTAGCATTCAGAAAATATGGAAATAGCTAATTATTTCTTTTTACTGCCTATGACCAATGTTAAAAATTTGAGAGGTTTACCTCTAGGCCTTTTTTTCTATGTTCATATAAGGATGTATAGGTTTTAAGCCAGGCGCAGTGGCTCACGCCTGTAATCCCAACACTTTGGGAGGCTGAGGTGGGCAGATCACCTGAGGTCAGGAGTTTGAGACCAGCCTGGCCAACATGGAGAAACCCTGTCTCTACTAAAAATACAAAAATTAGCCGGGCGTGGTGGCGGGTGCCTGTTAACCCAGCTACTTGGGAAGCTGAGGCAGGGAGAGTTGCTTGAACCCGGAAGGCAGAGTTTGCAGTGAGCCAAGATCATGCCACTGCACTCTAGCTTGGGTGACAGAATGAGACTCCGTCTCAAAAAAAAAAAAAAAAAAAAAAAAAAGGATGTATAGGTTTTATAATATATTAACCTACTACATTCATTTGTATTTCTTTATGACATGATGGTACAGCTTTTCATGCCAATTCCATGCCATGTCCTCTAGACATACACTACCCAATATGGCAGCCACATGTGGTACTGAGCACCTGGAATGCAGAGAGTATGACTGAAGAACTGAATTTTATTTTAATGAATTTAAATAGCCACATGTGGTTATTGCAGTCACAGTGGACAGCGCAGCTCTAGACCTGCTTCATTCTCCTCAGTGACACATGTGCCTTGTGTGCTGTGTGGTTCTACCAGAGCTTATTCACCATTCCCCCACTGGCAAGTATTTAGATTCTTCTTATCTTCACCATCACAAATGCTGCAAGACACAATGCTTGGTCAGAGCATACGTGTATTTTTAACTTTGTACAGTAATTCCCACATGACTTTACAAAAAGGGTATACTGCTTTTTCATGCCAGCCAGTATTATTTTAATTTTGCTAATCTAATGGATTAAAAAAATGGTATTGCTTTTTTTTTTTTCTCATTTTAGACAGGGTCTCACTCTGTCACCCAGGCCAGATTGCAGTGGCTCAATCACAGCTCACTGCGGCCTCAACTTCCCGGGCTCAAGCCATCCTCCCACCTCAGCTGCCCAAGTAGCTGGGACTACAGGCTTGCACCACCACACCCAGCTAATTTTTGTATTTATTTATTTTTGTAGAGATGGGGTTTCACCATGTTGCTCAGGTTGGTCTCGAACTCCTGGGCTCAAGCAATTTGCCCACCTTGGCCTCCCAAAGTGCCAGGATTACAGGTGTGAGCCACCATGCCTGGCTATTACTTTTCTTTTTAGAAGACGTTTACCTATGGTAGTGGTTAAATATTCGCAGCATGTGGCATAAGAATTAGTATTAAGAACCTTTGTATGAATGAGTGAGTGAGTGCACATTTGAGGAACAGAAAAGCAAATTAAAAAGGGGGAAAAAAGAACCCTCACAATCTGCTGGCCTACTGCTGAGTTTATAGAATACAGGACTCAGACTCTGAATAGTTGAAAATAGTAATTCTTACATATAATTTCTATGGATAGTCAAATCTCTGCAGCTCTACCCGAAGATTAATAAAAACAGCATGAATGCAGTGGGTGTTCCCAAAATGGCTAACTGAATCTCAGAAGACCTGGGATACTAGTCAGGTGTACAGTGTGGAAGTAGAGAAGGGTAAGGTGGCACTGTCACCCCCAGCCAAGGGCTGCATTCAGGCATATGCCCAGATGACAGGACTTGACAGGTCTACCTCAGTGCCTTCCAGAGGAAGACTGCAGAGGAAAGCTTAACGAAGCAGGTCTGATGACAATAATCTTGAGCAAATACTCCATAGTGGTGACATTCCCATTAATTGATTTGACGTATCTGCAAAGGCAAAGGAAACACGCAAAGACATCGAAGGCCAAAAACACAGAAAGTCCTGGCCCTCCAGCCACGGTGGCTCACACCTATAATCCCAGCACTTTGGGAGGTGATGATAGGAGAACAGCTTGAGCTCAGGAGTGTGAGGCCAGCCTTAACAACATAGCGAGGCTTCATCTCTACTAAAAATCAAAAAAATAGCAGGGTGTGGTGGTTCGTGCCTATAGTCCCAGCTACTCAGGAGGCGGAGGTGGGAGGATCACTTGATGATCAAGGTGATGGAGCCTGCAGTGAGCCGAGATGGCACCACTGCACTCCAGCCTGAGTGACAACCAGACCCCGTCTGAAAAACGATAAAAAAATAAAACAGTCCTGGCCCTCTTTGACTAGTCTGTGTTCACCAGGGCCTTTACTGGCAGGATTTAAGTTTGAAAACAGAATAATGAAGGGGGAAATCACTAATTCTAATCCATTATATAGCAGTAGCCAAATTACGTGTTACAGGAGTAGAAACTAGATTGTGAATAAATAAAAATGGAGACGTTCTGGTAAATTAACACTAAATGGATGGTTATCACTCAGAAAGCTACTTCTCTGAACACAACTAAAGCCTTCTTTATATAAGCAACACCATGATAAGCTTGCTTTATCTGATAGAAACTAATTTAAAAATCAATGGGAATTTACTGCACTGACAGGCAAACAAACCCAGTGTACTAGAGTCATTAAGCTGATGTGTATTTCATTTATTTAAATCCTCACTGCTCTAAATTTACCGTTTATATTTTAGCAGTTAGCTATGAGTCAAGTTTAATCTTGAGAATTCACAGTATCATGGCAAACTCAAAAATAGACTATAATTTCATTTTTATTTTGAGTGAAAGTTTAAGGTAAATTATGTTGATCTAATTTATTGACACAAGCATATTTATTTTCCAAATAAAAGTAATTCAGTTCCAGTAGCACATTTTTTTTTTTTTTTTTAAGTTCTAAGGTAGTTTTCCCAAAACCATTTCAGGGTGTCCATTAAAAGAGCATCTACAGGTTGTTTTTGCAGGGACTCCTGATCCGTCAGGAGCAGAAGTAGAAAGTAAGCAAAGTCACAAACCTCCCATAAGAATTCAGCTCCTCTCTTATGAAGGGATGGGAAGCAGACCCCAAACCCAGTGTCACAGTCTCCCTGGAAACAGCAACAGGCTTGGGGAATGCTGCTGAAAGTCTGTGCCATTCAAGATCTCAGCTTTTGGTTAAAAATACAATTTCGGCCAACTGCAGTGGCTCATGCCTATAACCCCATCACTTTGGGAGGCTGAGGCAGGCGGATGGCTTTGAGCTCAGGAATTCGAGACCAGCCTGGGCAACGTGGCGAAACCCATCTCTACAAAAAATACAAAAATTAGCCGGACGTTGGTGGCTCGCACCTGTAGTCCCAGCTACATGGAGGCCAAGGCTGGAGAAATGCTTGAGCCTAGGAAACAGAGGCTGCTGTGGGCTGAGATGGTGCCACTGCACTCCAACCTGGGTGACAGAGGCCCTGTCTCAAAATAAAATTGTGTGTGTGTGTGTGTGTGTGTGTGTGTGTGTGTGTAATTATATGCAGGGGCTTCCAATTTTAACAAAACTGCTTTCAGCTGATAAAGTTATGGGAGACCTGAACTTTTGGGGGCATGGGGGAGTGACATTAGCATGATTGATTGTATTTTAGAATATAAAAGACTAATGAAAACCTCTAAGCTCTGAGGTCCACACTTTGAGACATGAGTTAAAGGTTTTAATTTTAGCTGACTCATACCTAGGCCGATGATTCAGAGTTTAAGGAAAAGATAGGCTCATTTTTCTTACCCGGCAGTTGTTTCTCTAGGACTTTCTGATCAAGTTGATCAGGGTATTTTATCTTCAGTGCTTTAAGAGAAACAAAGAAAAAGACTAATTGATATCTACTATTATATGGATTTAAATTATCCACACACATCAACAGATGGCCAAATGATAGAGCTATGCAGTGCAAACTGGCAGGTCTAATCAATGTTTAAAATCCTTCCATGAATTGCTAACAACAAAAAAAATAGCTGGACGCCACTTTCCCTTTTCCCTGCTTAGTGCTTCTTTCCTGATCCTTTTCCCTGCTTAGTGCTTCTTTCCTGATCCTTTTCCCTGCTTAGTGCTTCTTTCCTGATCCTTTTCCCTGCTTAGTGCTTCTTTCCTGATCCCTTTCCCTGCTTAGTGCTTCTTTCCTGACAGCTTGGACAGGTTTTCAAGTCATAAATTCACAAATCACAATTTGGTTCACAACTCCATTACCTCCCACATTTATAACACTATTAAATGAGTTTAAAACATAGGAGTTGCAAAAATGTATAAGAATTTAGATATGTTTTAAAGAATTCATTTCTTTGGGTGTGGTGGCTCACGCCTCTAATCCCAGCATTTTGGGAGGCCAAGGCAGGTGGATCTCCTGAGGTCAGGAGTTCGAGACCAGCCTGGACAACATGGTTAAACCCCGTCTCTACTAAAAATACAAAATGAGCTGGGCATGGTGGCGCATGCCTGTAATTCCAGCTACCTGGGAGGCTGAGGCAGGAGAATCACTTGAACCCGGGAGGTGGAGGCTGCCGTGAGCCGAGATCGTGCCACTGCACTCCAGTCTGGCAACAAGAGCAAAACTCCATCTCAATTTAAAAAAAAAAAAAGTTAGCTGGGCGTGGTAGTGTATGCCCATAGTCCCAGTTACTCCAGAGGCTGAGGCGGGAGAATCACTTAGAACCTGGGAGGCAGAGGTTGCAATGAGCTGAGATCACGCCACTGCACTCCAGCCTGGGGGACAGAGGGAGACTGTCTCAAAAAAAAAAAAAAGAATTCATTTAAAACTCAAAGCATTTACTTAAGTACTTAAGAGATACACACTTAAAAGAAACACACTATCTGTTTCGGCACCTAAGGACTCAAATACAAATAAACTATTTGAATCTGAGCGTCTTACTTAGTAGCTGGTTTTTGAGCATAAATGGTTGTTGTGTTTTGAGTTCCCAATCTTCAGGTGCACCATATTCTGTTTAAGAAATCAAAAGAGATGAATGATAAACCAAAGGCCACTATAAGAAAAAAAAAAAAGCATAGGTAAGTATCCAGACAGCCTGCGCCTTTCCCAGGACACATGGAGCTGCCTTTATTCAGTGTGATTTTTAGGAGTGATAGACAACAACCACTCCTAAGGGCAGAATCGTCTGTCTACCCAGAGCTGCAGACTCTGTAACTTACCTGGCTCATTGTTAATGACCAGTGAAACTCAACAGAAGACAATAAATGAAAAGCAGCGTGTTTACACTTGTATTACATCATTGTTCCTTAGGTGTCCTCACTCAAACTAGCAAGAGAAGACTGCCCTCAAACACTTCAAATGTTTTCCCCAAGTGTCATCTTTGGTAACAGTTCTTTCTGCGCTGAGAGAAACCTGGTGCCACCTGAGACACAATCCACAAGACACCTTCCCCAAGTTTCAACCAGACCGTGCAGTGCCAGGCTGGGCGCTCAGTACCACACTGCAAACCAGTTCCTCGGCCAGGACCACAGCCTCCATAGAAGAGGAAAGCAGAACTTTTTTCCTGCTCTACGCCAAACAGTGACAGAATTTCTCTAAATCCCCCTGTATCTGTGCTTTTGTCTTCTAGCATTCTGAGCAGTGAATATTCAACAATACCTGGCCAGCTGCTTCAGAATCTTCCCTTGCCCACCCCCAAGTGATTTAGAATTCAAGGAGTGGAGTGTGGCCAGGAAATTGGGCCGGCTAATGGAGTCATTTGAAAGTGATTCCTCCAGGCTGCTTTTCTTCCTTAAAGACACTGTTCAAGCCTAAAGCGTTTATGCAGTAAGCTTCTTGCATTAAGAAATATAAAAAAGGAAAATCACATAAAAGCGAAATGTGGAATAATAATGAAGGCAAAACAAAATGGAAAGTACATCAGGGACAAAGACTCATGAATTCTTAGCTTCAAAGCCTGAAGAACCAGGCTGGAGGATTTAACGAACCACTGTGCATGCCAAGTGCCAGCCTTGGTAGTGAGCCCTGGGGATGAGAGCTTACTGCAGAACTACACTCTCATGCGAACTTTCCTGTTCACTAGAACTACCTGTGGGGCTATAAAAAAAACGATGCCGGCCGGGCGCAGTGGCTCTCGCCTGTAATCCCAGCACTTCGGGAGGCCAAGGCGGGCAGATCACCTGAGGTCAGGAGTTTCTGAGACCAGCCTGGCCAACCTGGTGAAACCCCATCTCTACTAAAAATACAAAAAAATTAGCCAGGCATCGTAGCAGATGCCTGTAATCCCAGCTCCTCAGGAGGCTGAAGCAGGAGAATCGCTTAAACCCAGCAGGTAGAGGTTGCAGTGAGCCGAGATCGCGCCATTTCACTCCAGTCTGGACAACAGGAGTGAAACTCTGCCTCAAAAAAAAAAAAAAAAAAAAAATAGGGATGCCTCAGAGATAAACTGGAGTGCTTCCTACCCTTTCTACAGTGGAGCATGGTGCACCACCTGAAACCTAGTGAACATGTGCAAAGAGAAGAACCTATATTTAAGAAGTGCTTTCCTGGCCAGGCGCGGTGGCTCACCCCTGTAATCCCAGCGCTTAGGGAGGCCAAAGTGGGCGGATCACGAGGTCAGGAGATCGAGACCATCCTGGCTAACATGGTGAAACCCCATCTCTACTAAAAATACAAAAAATTAGCTGGGTGTGGTGGTGGGTGCCTGTAATCCCAGCTACTCTGGAGGCTGAGGCAGGAGAATGGCGTGAAACCGGGAGGTGGAGCTTGCAGTGAGCCAAGATCATGCCACTACACTCCAGCCTGGGCGACAGAGCGAGCCTCCGTCTCAAAAAAAAAAAAAAAAAAGAAGAAGTGCTTTCCCGGCCGGGCGTGGTGGCTCATGCCTGTAATCCCTGCACTTTGGGAGGCTGAGGCAGGCAGATCACAAAGTCAGGAGTTCAAGGCCAGCCTGGCTAGCATGATGAAACCCCATCTCTACTAAAAATACAAAAAAAAATTAGGCATGCCTGTAATCGCAGCTTCTCAGGAGGCTGAGGCAGGATAATTGCTTGAACCTGGGAGGCGGAGGTTGCAGTGAGCCAATACTGCACCACTGCACTCCAGCCTGGGCAACAGAGCGAAACTCCGTCTCAAAAAAATATATACAAAAATTAGGCATAGTGGTGCGCGCCTGTAGTCCCAGCTACTCTGGAAGCTGAGGCAGGAGAATCACTTGAACCCAGGAGGTGGAGGTTGCAATGAGCTGAGATTGTGCCACTGCATTCCAGCCTGGGTGACAGAGCAAGACCCTGTCTCAAGAAAAGAAAAAAAAAAGAAAAAGATGTGCTTTCCTGCCGGGCATGGTGTCTCACACCTGTAATCCCAGCACTTGGAGAAGCTGAGGTGGGTGGATCACTTGAGGTCAGGAGTTCGAGACCAGCCTGGCCAATATGGTGAAACTCCATCTCTACTAACAATACAAAAATTAGCTGGGCGTGGTGGCGGGCGCCTCTAATCCCAGCTACGCGGGAGGCTAAGACAGAAGAATAACTTGAACCCGGGAGGCAGAGGTTGCAGTGAGATCACTCCAGCCTGGGCGACAGAGCAAGACTCCATCTCTTAAAAATAAAAAAATTGCGTTCCCTTCCCCAAATGCAACTCTCTCCGTTTCAGGAACATACACAGTCTCCCAGGTTCCTCCTGCTGAGAGACACTGCTCTTGCCCTGCTGCCCTCGCCCCAGGAAAGTACCTATAGTCCATTCAGATGAACAGAAAAAGCCCAGGGAAGGAAGGGCAAAAGCAACACTGAGAACCTCTTTTGATACCTAAGGGAACACTCTGTTCCAGCGGGAAATCCGCCACCTGCAGGCCACCAGCGTATACGCACGTACTCAGGCAGAGGAACTGGTATCTAGGATGGGCTCTGAGGAATTCTTCGCTGAGTCTGTTTTTGTCCGGATCCTGATGTCCACCAGCCTGTTTCCACTCATTTCCAAAAGCTTTTCGATAGTCAAGCTCAGCTGTCCGCCTCTCCTTGGGGAGAATCTATGTTGGTGTGACATAAAAACAAATCTGTTAGAAAGACTTTTTCTAACAAGTCCTTTGCGTTTTGCACTTTGTCCTTCCTCCACAGCACATGCAGAGAATAATCAAATTGAGAGGGACAAGATATAGTTTTCACTCTTCTTTTTAACACTGCCAGAACTCAGGGGTTTATTAGAAAAGAAAAAAGAATTTGTTTTACACTTTTTTTAAAAATTTGAGATGGAGTCTCGCTCTGTCGCCCAGGCTACAGTACAGTGGTGTGATCTCAGCTCACTGCAACTTCCGCCTCCCAGGTTCACGTGATTCTCCTGCCTCAGCCTCTGGAGTAGCTGGGATTACAGGTGCATGCCACTATGCCCGGCTAATTTTTTTGTATTTTTAGTAGAGACGGGGTTTCACCGTGTTAGCCAGATGGTCTCGGTCTCCTGATCTCGTGATCCACCAACCATGGCCTCCCAAAGTGCTGGGACTACAGGCGTGAGCCACCATGCCTGGCCTACGCTTTTAATTCATGAGGGTACTTGCACGTAGGCCAGTTTCAGGACTATGCCAGGTACCTTGGGTCGCCTCCCCGAGGTCTGCCTGGAGGCGCCTGCCCTGGTGGAGCTGACTGACTCCCAGTGAATGCACAAAAGTGCTGGCAAGGACAAGGCATGGGCTTCCCACTTTTATGGGGAAGAGCAGCTGAGAAGGAGAAGAGAAAGCAGCTCTGTGGTTCGGTTCTTTCTGCCTACATTCCCTGAAAACATGGAGAAGCTGCCTGGGATTCCTCAAACGACAGCGCACTGATGTCGCTGCTCTCTCCTGAGGAGCTGGAAAAGAACCGTTATTATGAAACTGCACAAGGCTAATCTTTTACCATTCCGAGGAAAGCTACATCTCACCTCCTTTACAATATTCAAAAACAATTTCTTTTTACTTTTTTTTAAAATTAAGACAGGGTCTCACTCCATTGCCCAGGCTGGAGTGCAGTGGCATGTTCATGGCTCACTGCAGCCTTGGCCTCCCGGGCTCAGGTGATTCTTCCACCCCAGCCTCCTGAGCAGCTGGGACTACAGGCACTTACAGGCGTGAAACACCACGCAGCGAATTTTTGTATTTTTTGTTGAGATGGGGTTTCACCAGGTTGCTCAGGCTGGTCTCGAACTCCTGGACTCCAATGATCAGCCTGCCTCAGCCTCCCAAAGTGCTGGGATTACAGGCGTGAGCCATGGCGCGTGGCCTAAAATCATTTATTTTCTAGTCTAAAAAATAGCTAGTCACGACGCCAGTGCTCACCTCACATTTGTTCAGGGTCTTCAGCTGGCCAATGCTGGCGATAATGAGCTGCCGCGTCATGTTTGCTTCTTTGTCCTCCTTGGTCAGGGGGTTTCTTAGGCAGGACAAAGCCCGTAGACTTGGTAACTTGTCTAGCTCATTGAAAAATGACCACTGAAACACAGCAAAAGGAAATAAATGAAAAGCAGTATGTTTCGTGCTACTTTTGCAGAAGTTTGAACCAGCGACAGGAAAGCAAGTCCCTACTTCTAATCTGAGGCAGGGAATTTCATCATGCACCAAGCAACCCCCTCTAGAAAGACCACATACTTTCACTCTTTTTTTTGAGACGGAGTTTCGCTCGTTTCCCAGGCTGGAGTGCAATGGTGCAATCTTGGCTCATCGCAGCCTCTGCCTCCGAGTTCAGGCGATTCTCCTGCCTCAGCCTCCCAAGTAGCTGGGATTACAGGCATGTGCCGCCATGCCCAGCTAATTTTGTTTTGTTTTGTTTTGTTTTAGTGGAGATGGGGTTTCACCATGTTGGTCAGGCTGGTCTCGAACTCCCAACCTCAGGGGATCCGCCCACCTCAGCCTCCCAAAGTGCTGGGAATATAGGCGTGAGCCACCACGCCCAGCCACTTTTACTCTCTTAATGTGCCATTTGAGTGTGAAGTCCACTTAGATGTGAAGTGAACTAATTTCTTTCTTAATATTTTTGGCTTCATATGAGGAGTTCCACGCTGAGGAGGCATTTCTCTTTTGATTTAGGTTTTTTTTTTTTACTTTTTGGTAGAAGGAACCTCCGAACTCTGCCATGACAATGGAAAGAGGCAAGTGTGCTGGGCATACGCCGAAGCAGTTCTTACTTGTGATATCTGATTGTCATTTACTACAAGGTACTGCAAGGACGGGAACATGGAGGTTTTGCACCCTATAAAAAGAGGAATGAAGTTACACAGTAGAAGTGAAAGAAGTAGCTAAAGTATAGTATGGGGGGGCAGGATGGAACTTTACTAATCTTATATACCAATTCCAGCATCCGGAAAATGTATAGAAGAGATTCCAACGTCAGAGAGGATTAATTGTTCTAACCTGAAATTCAAAATGTAAAATTTGATTACACAGAACAATCTAAAATGCTATGGGGTATCAACCAGACTCGGTTTGTAAATTTTTTTCTACACCCTAGGTTTTTAATCCCATGTAAAATACTTAGAAACCATGAAGTCCAACTTAGGACATGCAAAGTGAACTCTTTATCCTATATTCTAATGACGCTATAGTCACTTAATGGTTCTTGAGTACCTACTGCTATGTCAGGTGCTAAACGCATCTCAGAGGAAAGAGACACGGTCTACTGCCCGGAGTTTAACGAGTGAAGACTATCGGCATTATCGCCAGGGTCAAACTATTCATTCTTCAAATTATCTGGTACAGACATAGTCCACATTATACAGCGTTCACAAGTACATTTGCTAAATGAATTCAAATGAAAATTTTCCAAAGGGAATTACTCAATTTAGAAATTCCATCATTGTTACCACGTTTCTACTGAGAAAGCATACATAGTATATAAAAATTGCTTCAGTAAGAATTGACTGAACACTGTTGTATCAGGCATTTAGAGGCAAATTACCTGGGCAGGTGGGCTATCAGATACAGCTGATTTTCATCAATTAATTGATTAGAGGAAAGGTCTAATAACTTGACTGTCTGGAGAACATCTGTTGGCCTGTATGGAAAATAAAATTTTTTCACCGTGAATTTCTCTTTTGTTTTCAAAGATACGGCCTTAAAATGCCTGCATTTGATGCGATGGAGGGTTGGGGGTAAAAAGCAAGTGGATATGACTATAAAAGGGCAACCTGAGGGGTGCCTCTGGCAATGCACAAATTCCTGCCAGTGTCAATGTCCCACCTAGCCTGTGATCCTATTTCATAGTTTTGCAACTTGTTACCAATGGGGGAACCTGGGTCATGGGTACAAGTGGTATCTGTGTATCATTTCTTATAAAACTTGATGTGAATCTATGATTATCTCAAAATTTAAAAATTTAATTTAAAAAACCTGCAGGCCAGGCACAGTGGCTCACGCCTGTAATCCCAGCACTGGCAGGCCAAGGTGGGCAGATCACCTGAGATCAGGTGTTCAAGACCAGCCTGGCCAACATGGTGAAACCCCGTCTCTACTAAAAATATAAAAATTAGCCAGGCATGGTGGGCCATGCCTGTAGTCCCAGCTACACAGGAGGCTGAGGCAGGAGAATCACTTGAACCAGGGAGGCGGAGGTTGCAGTGAGCCGAGATGGCGCCATTGTACTCCAGCCTGGGCAACAAGAATGAAACTCTATCGCAAAAAAAAAAAAAAACCTGCATTTGCCTACATAATGAAACCCTTCTGTACACGAAAATCTTTAAGATTCTGAATCCTTTAATTCAGAATCTGTTGTAAATTTTCTCCCACAACTAGGTTAATTTTACATAGTAATTTAATATTATTAATTAAAAAAAAGGGAGATGAGGCAACAATATATTTCAGAGAACAAGGTTTTACATGTACTTTGGTACAATGATCTGAAACAGATGATGCTAATGAAAAATACATTATTTAATCCTTACAGCATATCCTACAGAACTTCCATTTAGAAATAGCAAATTGGCTGGGCACAGTGGCTCACGAGGTCAGGGGTTCAAGACCAGCCTGGCCAAGATGGTGAAACCCCGTGTCTACTAAAAATAAAGAAAATTAGCCAGGTGTGGTGGCAGGCGCCTATAATCCCAGCTACTTGGGAGGCTGGGGCAGGAGAATTGCTTGAACTCAGGAGGCGGAGGTTACAGTGAGCCGTGATCACCACTGTACTCCAGCCTGGGTGACAGAGTGAGACTCCGTCTCAAAAAAAAAAAAAAAAAAGAAAAGAAACAGCAAGCAGCAAGTTAATACACTGATGCAAAACTAAGATAACTCACGTCTTCACAAATACTTAATTCTGACGAGTTTCCTTTGATTAGAACCAATTAGTCAAATTCTAATTTGCGAAGGCAATGAATAATAAGCATTTTTCCTAATTCTTGTTTACAAATCCTTCTAAAAATTAAGGTGAGATATAATTGAGACCATTTGTTTACTCAGAATGATGACTAATGGGGAGAGATGCATTTAAGTAAGCCCTAGTTACCTTTCAGAAATGACAATATTGTTAGACTCCAGGTAGAGTTCCTCCAGGCCCGGGCACCACACGGCACACCGCAGCACCTGGAAGAGAAACTCGGCTCAGGCTCAGGTGGCCTCTGTTGGCTGTTTCTTCCCGGGTGTTCACAGGAACCACCACGAGGATTCAGCTCAGTTACTGTTTCAGCAAACAAGTGCCTCACCGACAGTTCATAAGACTGTTTCAGGCCTGGAATGGTGGTGGGGGGTGATAAATAAAATGTTAAAGGAGTGCATTTTAATGCTGTGGGAGCACATACTGTGGGCACTCTGAGGCCTCGGAGGTAGGTGTCAATGCATGGTTTAGGTAAGGCAGCTACGAGGTGGAACAGGAGATACTAACTGCATGTATTAGTATTTGATAGAATTTGCTTAACCAAAAGAAGTAAATTGATGTTAAACACCTTTCCTCAATTCTAAATGCCAATCTGGGTTTGTAAAGGATATGCTAATTTTTCATATCCTTTCATAAATTTCTCAACAGTTATTTCTTCTTTCATTATTATTATTTTTTTTTTTTTTGAGACGGAGTCTCGCTCTGTCGCCCAGGCTACAGTACAGTGGTGCGATCTCGGCTCACTGCAAGCTCCGCCTCCCGGGTTCACATCATTCTCCTGCCTCAGCTTCCCAAGTAGCTGGGACTACAGGCGCACGCCACCACGCCCGGCTAATTTTTTGTAATTTTAGCAGAGACGGGGTTTCACCATGTTAGCCAGGATGGTCTTGAACTCCTGACCTCATGATCCACCCGCCTCGGCCTCCCAAAGTGCTGGGATTACAGACGTGAGCCACCGCGCCCGGCCTCATTATTTTTTAATTATACATTTTTTAAAGTTTTCATTATATATTTACAACAAATATCCTACATCCATGATTCTCTCCAGTCAAAAGTTCTTTGAGGTCAGGCACAGTGGCTCATGCCTGTAATCCCAGCACTTTGGGAGGCCGAGGCAGGTGGATCACTTGAGGTCAGGAGGTGGAGACCAGCCTGGCTAACAGGATGAAAGCCCATTACTACTAAAAATACAAAAATGGCGGGGTATGGTGGCACACACCTGTAATCTCAGCACTTTGGGAGGCTGAGGCGGGCAGACTGCTTGAGGTCGGGAGTTTGAGACCCAGCCTAGGCCATGGCAGAAAATGAGCATCTACGACTAAAAATACAAATTAGCCCAGGCATTGGTTGCATGTCTGTAATCCCAGCTAATTTGGAGGAGGCAGCAGGAGAATCGTTTTGGGCCATGAGGCAGAGTTGCAGTGAGTCAATATAACACCACTGCAACTCCAGCCTGGGGCAACAGAGCACACGATCCATCATCAAAAACAAAATAGTTGAGATACGCCTTGGCCATGGCCAGAGAATGGAATCATCTGACTCACCCATCTGCAAACTGTCCTGCAGATAGCACAGGTTTTAAACTAGCTGTTAAACCTGCCGTGACCTTGTTGGCCTTGGCCACGTTCATCCACATGGATGTATGGTCCTTGGCACTCGATGACGCAGTTGCTGGTGGAGCATTTCTGCCGCATGCACAGGTCCCGACACTTGCTGGCATCTTTCTGCATGTCAGACCGTGCCTGCTGCTACCACACTGCCACATGAGCCTAATTTTTTTTACAAAAAAAATTTACAAAACTTTTTTACAAAAATATTATATATTATTATATATAATTATTAATAAATTACATAATTTTATAATATTACAATTATATATAATAATATATACATATCATAATATTAATAATTATATATAATAATAATATAGATCTACAGGATCTCTCGATGTTGCCTAGGTGGGTCTTGAACTCCTGGCCTCAAGCAGTTCTCCTGCCTGGGCCTCCCAAAGTGCTGGCTGGAATTACAGGTGCGAGAAGCCCCATGCCCAGCCTCACCAACTATTTCTAAATTTTTCTCACTGGAACTTTACTGTCATCTCTACCACCTTGAATTTCTGTGTGCCCTTCCTAGTTTATTTGGAGGGTGAGGTGGGTCTTGCTCTGTCGCCCAGGCTGGAGTACAATGGTGCAGTCCTAGCTCACTGCAGCCTCAAACTCCTGGGCTCAAGTGATCCTCCCACCTTAGCCTCCCAAAGCGCTGGGACTGAGGTGTCAGCCCCATGCCTGGGGCCTTCTTGTCTTCCAGCTGCATCTACACTGGAGAGGGAGTAAGCACCTCACAGAGGAGGGGCCCTAGGAAAGAGGCTCCCGTGGGCATATTAAGGGCACAAGGGACCCACCTGTCTCTCACTGAGCAGTCTCTGTGGCACTTCCTGGGTGAACATAGCTGGGAATGTATTTTCTACACCCTTGGTTTGAAGTGGAATGCCTGAACCGGGTGCGGAGGCTCACTCCTGTAATCCCAGCACTTTGGGAGGCCCGAGGCGGACAGATCATTTGAGGAGTTCAAGACATCCTGGCCAACATGGTGAAACCCCGTCCTACTAAAAATACAAAAATAACTGGGCATGGGTGGCAGGCGCCTGTAACCCAGCTACTTGGGAGGCTGAGGCAGGAGAATCGCTTGAACCCGGGAGGCGGAGGTTGCAGTGAACCGAGATTCGCGCCCACTGCCTCAGCTTGGGCACAGCGAAGACCTCTGTTTCAAGAAAATAAATGAATAAAAATGAGTGGGCTGGGCACGGTGGCTCTGGCCTGTAATCACAGCCTCTGGGAGGCCGAGGTGGGCAGATCACCTGAGGTCAGGAGTTCGAGACCAACCTGACCAACATGGAGAAACCAGTCTCCTACTAAAAATACAAAATTAGCTGGGCCTGGTGGCGCGCTGCCCTGTCATCCCAGCTACCTCGGGAGGCTTGAGGCGGGAGAATCACTTGAACCTGGGTGGGTGGAGGTTGCAGTGAGCCGAGATCGCGCCACTGCACTCCAGCCTGAGCAACAAAGAGTCAACAACTCTGTCTCAAAAAAAAAAAAAAAAAACAGACAGTGGCATGCTCTGGGTGTGTGAAGTCAGCACACCTCAGAGGAAGTTGTACTGCCAGACATAAGTCCCAAACGCTGCTGTGCCGAGGACCCACAAGTCTACTTTTGAGCCCAGCTGTATAAAATGAACAGCGGCTTCCAAAAGCCGAACTTCTAACAAGAAAAGGATGTGAGGACCTTTCTGCTGCTTGGCTTCTGTTCTAAAAAAAACTTACAGGAAAACTCAGGGAGCTATCAATAGCTAACACGACGGCTTTTCAAAGCTCAGCACATCCTCGGTGCATACCACAACGGAGCGCCACTGTTTATAAAGGCCCCAGAACAAGTCCAAGTGAGCTGAGAGAGGACACGGATTCCTAGATGCAAAACTCAACTACGATGCGCTTTTAACTCGTTTTTGCAAGGCACTTTAAAGAATCTTGTTATCTATTAATAGATATTGGGATGATTTAAACGAAGCCACAGTTATACTTCAATTCCCTACTAAATCGAACATTTTAAATTGCTTATTAATGTGTAATAAACCAAAGAAATATGATTACCTCAGCCCACGTTATTCCTGTTTGATTGAGGACTAAAACCTTCAGTGCAGAAAACGTTCCAGTTAATGCTGAACCGGAGGGAAATTTTAGTTTATTTTCACTGTGTAGAAAAAGAAGATACAATATACTTATTTCTATACAGTAAACCCAACTGAAATAGTCGTTGAAAGCAACAACTTGGGTTTTAATCTAAGGGGTTTGATTTGTTTCAATCTTAAAATGGAAATCACTTTTTTAATGATTCAAGTGAATCAAGACTACCTAATTTTTAACATTTACAATTTACAACTTTTTGGGATCAGCTGTGTAAAGATGCTTTCACAGGATTAGGGCAGCTGTATGCGGCTGCAGGCTTCCTAAACCCGAAACTCAGGCGTTTGCAAGGTGAGCTTCCAGCTTTACAAGACATGGCTCTGGACAGTGCAAAGCAAAGTCCCGTTCTCCAGTCTTACTGATACACTGAATCGTGGGCTAGCATTTTGCTTCTCTAAACATAGAGTCTGCCCTTTGGCTAGGAGGATGGATGAAATTATGGCTAGGAGGATGGATGAAATTATTGTCCCTTAAATTCTTTCTCAAAACTCTATTCAATCCTGACAGTCACTTTGAAAGAAGATATATTAAAAAACACAAGCCCATATTTCCGAAGATGAGACACCATGGGTTGAGTTACCCCTATTTGCTCTATTTGGGAGCACAATTCATTCAGGCCTACCTGCTATACTGTACACTCACCTGTCTATGCAAAAATGGTTTAAGAATGAAAGGGGAAACCTGTGCCGGGCGTGGAAGCTCACGCCTATAATCCCAGCACTTTGGGAGGCCAAGGCAGATGGATCACCTGAGGTCAGGAGTTCAGGACTAGCCTGGTCAACATGATGAAACCCCGTCTCTACTAAAAATACAAAAATTAGCCGGGCATGGTGGCAGGTGCCTCTAGTCCCAGCTACTTGGGAGGCTGAGGAAGGAGAATCACTTGAACCTGGGAGGCGAAGGGTGCAGTGAGCCGAGATCCTACCACTGCACTCCAGCCTGGGCAACAACAACAAAAAAAAAAAAAAAAAAAAAGGAGGAAGCCTGGCTAAACCCTTGGAAAGTTAGGTTCTGAGATTAAAACAAATCAAATACTCAGGAAGGCCTGGAAAACTGTGACATTAGTAAAATAGTTAGATTAACGAAAAATCCTTATCAAAACAGAATTAAACAGTATCCCAATGAAATTACTCATTCCTACAGCAATTAAATGCTAGAAGGTTTCAAATTTCAAATAAACAAGCACTTTTAATAACATCACCTCTCCTCTCCTACTCCACAATTAAATATCACCTCCCCCAACCTTCCATCTTTATGGTCAGGCTAAAAAGAAATAAGATCTTGCAGTTCAATGTCAATCTAACTCATCCCCCAACTGATAAAAGTTAAAACACATTCCTTATTCATGAATCACCCATGTGACCGTTTGCAAGGCTATAATAATCGATGTGCCCTTAAAGATTAAAGTGTCCTTAAAGAGGCGGGACGTGGTGGCTCACACCTGTAATTCCAGCACTTTGGGAGGCCGAGACAGGTGGAAAACCTGAGGTCAGGAGTTCAAGATCAGCCTGGCCAACATGGCAAAACCCTGCTTCTACTAAAAATACAAAAAGTAGCCAGCAGTGGTGGTGGGCACCGATAGTCCCAGCTACTCAGGAGGGTGAAGTAGGAGAATCCCTTGAACCCAGGAAGGGGAGGTTGCAGTGAGCCAAGATTGCACCATTGCACTCCAGCCTGGGCAACAAGAGTGAGACTCCATCTCAAAAATACATGTCTGCAGCTCCATTTCACAGGCGGCTTGTGTTAGAAAGGAAAATAATTTGGGGCTGCTCTTCATTAAAAGGAAAACCTTACTGAGGACTTCTATACCCTCACTATCAGCCTGAGTAATTTCTTCTTAACTCCTGCATCATCAGGTGGCAGCCTTAATCTTTCTGCCTCAGAGATGCTGTGAGGGAGCAAGGAGATGACTTTTATTGTTCATGAAAATTCGGCAACCAAGAGTTCATACCTGAGATTAAGGACTTCCAGGTGTCTGAGCTGATCAGCAATGTGGATCACTTCATCCCATGATGACAACAGGTTTTTTGACAAATCTACCCTTCTAATATCTAAAAGCACATGTTAAGAAACAGTAATTTCAAAAGATTCACAAAAGACATAAAAGTAGTTACTCTTATTTCCTCAGCATGAGTGCTTTAACCTTTCATTTTATACCCTCTAGTTAACTTGAAATATTTTCAGGAGTACATAATACTTTTTTTTTTTTTTTTTTTGAGGCGGAGTCTCGCTCTGTCACCCAGGCTAGAGTGCAGTGGCCGGATCTCGGCTCACTGCAAGCTCCGCCTCCCGGGTTTACGCCATTTTCCTGCCTCAGCCTCCTGAGTAGCTGGGACTACAGGAGCCCGCCACCTCGCCCGGCTAGTTTTTTGTATATTTTTTAGTAGAGACGGGGTTTCACTGTGTTAGCCAGGATGGTCTCGATCTCCTGACCTCATGATCCGCCCGTCTTGGCCTCCCAAAGTGCTGGGATTACAGGCTTGAGCCACCGCGCCCGGCCATAATACTTTTAAGTTATCCAAAACTTCACTGAGAAACTAAAAAGTTCATTATCCGGCCAGGCGCGATGGCTCACGCCTGTAATCCCAGCACTTTGGGATGCCAAGGTGGGGGGATCACTTGAGGTCAGGAGTTCAAGACCAGCCTGGCCCACATGGCAAAACCCTGTCTCTACTAAAAATACAGAAATTAACCAGGTGTGGTGGCATGTGCTTGTAATTCCAGCTACTCAGGAGGTTGAGGCACGAGAATCTCTAGAGCCGGGGAGGCGGAGGTTGCAGGGAGTGGAGATTGCACCACTGCACTCTCCAGCCTGGATGACAGAGTGAGACTGTCTCAAAAAACTAAAAATAAATTAAAAGTTCATTGTTATATACTCAAAACTTGAGACAAACATCTACAATCAAATGAAAAAGAACCAAATGTCATAACATTAAACCATCCTAGCACTATCCAACAAAAGGAGAGGGGAAAAGCGGTGAGGGTAACTTTGATTTCTTAAGCACCTAAGGTATACACACAAGCCTCACCCCAGCACATGACCTTCTATGGGGCACCATTACCATAGGAATCTCCAGATAAATAGCATCTGCAGGGGAGATAAGAGGGGTCAACTTGGGACACATGTTCAAAAGTGCATGACTTAGGAATTGAGAGGGTGTCCCGTAGCCTGGAAGCAGTTATAACAGTATCACTCCAACTGCCCCTGATACAGGGGTTCAGAGAGGATAACACTGGAAAAGCAAAGCTGATGGGCAGCACATGCAGGTGAGGAGCTAGGTGCAGGTGCAGCACCATCAGGAAGGGGCACAGCTTAGCCAGGTCCCCGCAGAGAAAAAGGAGCTTGCAGCAGGACCGGGCCAGCTAGTGGAGGAGCCTACACTCTCATCTAATATGTGTATGTGTGGAAATTATTCAATGTACTGGTCTATTCTGCAAGTAATTATTTAGGGCCAGGAGCATCACAGTGGCAAAGCAGAGTCTCACCAGGGAGAGATGATCGCGACACAGGGGCCTCTACAGTGTGTCACAGGCAGGCCTGTCTGTGCTCAGGGACAGAGCAGGGCACACAGGAAAGGTGTGTGGCTGTTCTATATGCAGTGCTCAGGGAAGACCACCTCCTCCAACAAGAGGGCATCTGAGCAGAGAGCTGAGGGAAATGGGGGGATGCCATCTGGGAGAGGAGCACGCGGCAGAGGAGTGACAAGAGCAAAGGCCCTGGGATGGGAACGAGCTCAGCCTATGACCGGGATGGCCGGCGCCTGTGTGACTGGAGCAGATGGGCTTGGGGGTACTAGAAACGAGGTCACAAGGGACAAAGGGCCAGGCCACACATCACAAAGGCCTTGCAGGCCACTTCAAAGTCTTTGCTAGTCTTTGCTTGAAACGGGAGATACTGGAGGCTTTGGAACAGCGACAGATGACCTGGGTCTTTTAAAAATCACTCTGCTTTGACTTTGATCTATACTATGTCCAAAAAAAAAAGGAAAAGTCACTGTGCTGCTGGGTTGAGCACGATTGCAGGAAACAAAGGAGGGCCGGGAGTCTCCCGGAGGCCAGAGCAGAGCAGCAGCATGAGAGGGCAGACCACGGCAGAGGGGGCGTCTGACTCTGGACTGGGGCTCACAGGATTGCCAGTGGATTTAGGTGTGAGGCATGGGAGACAGGGAGTGTCAAGGACAACTCCAAGATCTGTGGCCTGTGCAACTGGAACTGTCATTTACTAAGAGGGGAAGACTACAGGATGGGCAGGCGTGAGGGGTCTTAGTTTGGGACATGCTAAATCTATGATGGCTATGAGACATCCAGACAGAGGTATCAAAGCAGCGGCTGGAGAGACAGATGTCCAAGAGGGCAGGCCGTGGAGGAGTGCCAGCCACACCCCAGAAGGTCTCTCAAGAAGCCAGGAGCTCCCATATCTGAGCCTCGCGGTACACCCAACACCCTGCAACCAGAGAAAGGTCCCATAGAAGTGACTGACGAGGACTGGCCAGCGACAGAAGAAGAGCTCTAAGATCCAGGCCAGGCGCGGTGGCTCACGCCTGTAATCCCAGCACTCTGAGAGGCCAAAGTGGGCAGATCACCTGAGGTCAGGAGTTCAAGACCAGCCTGGCCAACATGGTGAAACCCTGTCTCTACTAAAGATACAAAAATCAGGCCGGGAACTGTGACTCATGCCTGTAATCCCAGCACTTTGGGAGGCCGAGGCGGGTGGATCACCTGAGGTTGGGAGTTCGAGACCAGCCTGACCAACACGGAGAAACCCCGTCTCTACTAAAAATATAAAATTAGCCGGGCGTGGTGGCGCATGTCTGTAATCCCAGTTACTCGGGAAGCTGAGGCAGGAGAATCGTTTGAACCCGGGAGGCGGAGGTAGTGGTGAGCCAAGATCGTGCCATCGCATTCCAGCCTGGGCAACAAGAGCAAAACTCTGTCTCAAAAAAAGAAAAAAAAAAACACAAAAATCAGCCAAGGGTGGTGGCACGCACCTGTGGTCCCAGCTACACAGGGGGCTGAGGCAGGAGAATTGCTTGAACCTGAGTGCCAGAAGGTTGCGGTGAGCCGAGATCGCACTGCTGCACTCCAGCCTGGGTGAAAGAGTGAGACTCCATCTCAAAAAAAAAAAAAAAAAGAGCTCTAAGATCCAGTAATAACAACAGCAGCAGGGACAGCCACCGCCCTCACTGCTGCCGCCGCTGCCAACCAGACCCAGGCACTATGCTGATTTCTGGGTTGTTTTCCTTTTTCACAGTAGAAAAAACAGCGGCACAGCAGTCAGAGAGCTGTGTCATTGTGTGCAAATGAACAAGTGGGAAATTACACCCAAGTCAGCCTCCATTCAAAACCCATTTCATTGCACCCCTTAATGCAACAGGGGTCATCAAACATACATAAAACGTGGAGAAAGTTTCTTTACAAAAACAGCAGCATCACTCCAAAGCATTGGTTAGAAAGGAAATAATTTTAGGCAGGAACCAATTAGGAAGCTCCGCAAGAAGGTCAGGAACAAGGGAAGGATGGCAGAGAAGATGCGAAGAAAGGGATGACTCCAAACCCGGTCGCCAGCTACCCATGCCCAAATCCTGCCAGCTGCCTGGACTATTACAGTCCAAGAGCTAACAATGGGGTCTACCCTCGTAAACAGTTGCATTTCAACTGGTAGTATGAGTACCTACAGGATAGCCTTGATTTTGCTGTGGCCGTCGCATCAAATGGAAGGGAAAAGAGTCAGGCTGCTGAAAATTCCAGACCCGGCAAACACCCTCCAGGTCCCCTCAGGCTCCTCCTCCACCCTTGGGGACACACCTGCATGATGGCTTCTGTAAACTATTCCTCCGCTGCTCCTCCTCAGCCTCCCCTTGGCTGCCCTAGCTTCCTGACACCGCCTCACGCAGGCTCATGCAAGGGGTGCTTTCCAGGCCTCTGGGTGACACTTTGGCCACCCTGTGTTTCCATTAACCCTGCTAAATCGGCTGTTAGGCTGCTGAGGAAGGGTTTAAGTCCAATCACGCTGTTTCCCATTATGTAGCCTAGAGTTGTAATTGCCTCTAAGGTCTGTACAGAGCATACAGACCACCTACATCCTGAAATCAGCCACAAACAACAGCTCTCAATATGTGGTCGCCCCTCCCACACACACCGTTCAAGGAGCCCCCGTGAACGCACAGGTCAGGCCTCCGGGCACAGATTCTCCTCCGCAGGTCATGAGGAAGGAGGCGGCTCATCCCCTCCCCTGGAAGTGCCCTGAGATTTGACATACCCAGGTCTGCAGCGCTCCCACTGCCTTGAGTTCTGGTCGAGTAAATAACCTCAAAGACAGACCAACTCAAAACAGGATGACTGGATTAAGCACCCAAAGCAATACTTCAACTTCTGGCGAGAATTCAATTGGGACCTGCAAGACATTCATCACTGTATCTGCAAACACCAACCGTGACTGGATTATCTCGTGAAACCTCATTTCTTCGTGCCCTGGGGGACATTTTTCTCCAGAAAAGTGCAGTATAAACAAACAACATGCTGATTCTCCAGGACACTGTTGACAGCTCTGAGCAACCCAACGGCCAGCACTCCCAAACCCATCTACTGCTACATCTGTTCTTTTTTTTGAGATGGAGTCTTGCTCTTGTCACCCAGGCTAGAGTGCAATGGCGCGATCTCGGCTCACTGCAACCTCCGCCTCCCAGGTTCAAGCAATTCTCCTGCCTCACCTTCCTAAGTAGCTGGGATAACAGGCATGCACCACCATGCCTGGCTAATTTTTGTACTTTTAGTAGAGATGGGGTTTCACCACATTGATCGGGCTGTTCTCTAACTCCTGACCTTAGGTGATCCACCCGCCTTGGCCTCCCAAAGTGCTGGAATTATAGGCATGAGCCACCACACCTGGTCCCCCACCCCCTTTTTTTTTTTTTTTTGAGATGGAGTCCCGCTCTGTCACCCAGGCTAGAGTACAGTGGTATGATCTCGGCTCACTGCAATCTCTGCCTCCCGGGTTCAAGTGATTCTCCTGCCTCAGCCTCCTCCTGAGTAGCTGGGATTACAGGCACCTGTAATCATACTCGGTTAATTTTTGTATTTTTAGTACAGACAGGGTTTCACCATGTTGGCCAGGCTGGTCTTGAACTCCTGACCTCAGGTGATCCATCCGCCTTGGCCTCCCAAAGTGCTGGGATTACAGGCATGAGCTACTGCACACGGCCCGATGACCAATCTTCTGAAATAGTTTAGGAATAGACCAGGCAGAATGCAGAATGCTCTGACACTTCTGTGGCACTGGCTCCTTAGCAAACTCTTTTCTGCATCCACTCCATTCCCCTGACTCCAGCTGCTTAGCTCTGAAAATGACCACATATTTGCAGCACACTGGGGGCAACGGAGGAGGCTGCTCAGGGGCACAGAGTGGATGTTGCAGCTACCATAGGTCCCAACGGACCCCCAGGCTGTTTCCCCCAAGGGAACTGAAACCGCAGACACGCAGATGGAGAGAGTTCTGATCTAATTTCCTTCATTGCACCGTCCGGGCATTTTGCCAAAGAGAGCTACTTCACCTGGCATCTCTGCACTCAGAAAAAAACTGATCAAAACTGATACTTTTTGCAAAAGTTATTATGTACAGATCAAATAGACTTAATGAATTGGGGAAAGACCTTTTAAAGTTAGAGAAAGTCTATTTGGTTTCCATGGGAAATTCTTCTTTTTGTTGAGACACAGTCTCGCTCTGTTACCCAGGCTGGAGTACAATGGCATGACCTCAGCTCACTGCCACCTCCGCCTCCTGGGTTCAAGCGATTCTCCCTGCCTCAGCCTCCCAAGTAGCTGGGATTACAGGCATGCACCACCACATCTGGCTAATTTTTGTATTTTTAGTAGAGATGGGGTTTCACCAGGTTGGCCAGGTTGGGCTCAAACTCCTGACCTCAGGTGATCCGCCCACCTCAGCCTCCCAAAGTGCTGGGATTACAGGTATGAGCCACTGCACCCAGCCTCCGTGGGAAATTTCTTTTTTTTTTTTTTTTTTTTGGAGATCGGAGTCTCGATCCCCAGGCTCACGTAGTGGCGCGATCCGCCCCACTGCAACTCCCGCCCCAGGTCAAGCATTCCACTGCCTCAGCCTCATCCAAGTACTATGACTACAAAGGCATCCCGCCACAATGCCTGAACTAATTGTTTTTTGTATTTTCGTAAAAGAGACGGGGTTTTCCCACTGTGTAGCCAGGATGCGCTCGATGTCCGACCGTCCGTATCCACCCCTCTTGGTCGCCAAAGTGCCTGGGAGTTACAGCGCGTCGCAGCCACCGCATCCAGCCGGCCGCAAACTCCATAATAGAAACAGGGTCTAGCTGTCATCTAGGCTGAAGTACAGTGCATGACAGGCTCATCACAGCCTTGAACTCCTGAGCTCAAGCAGTCCTCCCACCTCAGCCTCCTGAGTAGTTGAGATGACAGGCACATGCCACTACACCCTGTTTTGTTTGTCTTGTTTAATTTTTTTATAGAGACAAGGTCTCGTAATGTTCCCAAGGCTGGTCTCAAACTCCTGGCCTCAAGCAATCCTCCAGTCTCAGCCTCCCAAAGTGTTGAGATTACCGGCATGAGCCACCATGCCCATCCTCGAAATTTTCTTTTAACTCCAACATTTTTGCTTATGGGCAAAAAAGCAATATATGACAAAAATAACACTAATAAGAGAAGGTAGAGAAAAGAGATTCCAAACTTCATAAAGAGCCTCTTTTGGAGTATTATAACAAAGTGCATTCAGCTGCATGAAACCAGAACCAGAGTCTTTCCCACTAAAAATAACTGCATGAGGCCAGGTGTGTGGCTCATGCCTATAATCTCAGCACTTTGGGAGGCCGAGGCGGGCGAATCACCTGAGGTCAGGAGTTCGTGACCAGCCTCGCCAATGTGGCGAAACCCCATCTCTACTAAAAATACAAAAATTAGCCAGATGTGGTAGCAGGCACCTGTAATCCCAGCTACTCGGGAGGCTGGGGCAGAGGAATCGCTTGATCCTGGGAGGTGGAAGTTACGTGAGCTGAGATCACGCCACAGCACTCCAGCCTGGGCAACAGAGCAAGGTTCCATCTCAAAAAAAAAAAAAAAAAAGAAATGCATGAGAAAACAGACCAGGGCTGAAGCAGATTCATCTTGGGTTCCCGGTACACTGTCAGCGGCCCAGGTTCCCTCTCCTCTGCTCTCCCAATCTGTACCAGATGCCTTTCTTCACACTTGTAAGACAGCTGCCAAAGCCCTGGGCATTCCATCCGCTCAAGGCAGAGGGAAGGGGAAAAGCAACAGGCAAAAGGCAGAGGCCAACCAAGTGTGCCCCCTTTCTTTTTTGAGACGAAGTCTTGCTCTGTCATCAGGCTGAGTGCACTGGCGAGATCTTAGCTCGCTGCAACCTCTGCCTACCGGGTTCAAGCAATTCTCCTGCCTCAGCCTCCTGAGTGGCTGGGACTACAGGAACATGCCACCATACCCGGCTAATTTTTGTATTTTTAGTAGAGACAGGTTTCACCATCTTGGCCAGGATGGTCTTCATCTCCTGACCTTGTGATCCACCTGCCTCAGCCTCCCAAAGTGCTAGGATTACAGGCGTGACCACTGCACCCTGCCAAGTGTGCCTCCTTTCAAGGAGCCCGGTCCAGAAACTTCCACCTCAACTAGGGGAAGTCATGCTGGCAAACTTGCAAGCAAAGGCGTCTGGGAAGGTAAATAATATATCTGGGCCCCAACTACACCAAGCAAAACTGAACTGCATTAGGAAGGAAGTTGCGAAGAATGGATAATGGGTAGGCAATTAGCAGTCTCTGGCACAGGCATCAAATCCAAAGTCAGATTCCAGTAACAAGCTCTCGGTGAAAAGGATACTAGGACATGCTTCGGCAACTCCTCCTTTTTCACCAGCACAACTTACTGCACAGTTCCTCAGAGAAACTTCTTGCAACTTGCTCAGCTGACTGCATGAAAAACAGAGTTCACATGGATACGTAAGCACGTATGCTATCCACTGGCCCTTTAAAAAATTAAACACATTTCAGACATATAAAAGGGTACCAAAAATAATATACAAATACCAGTAACTACCACCCAAATTAAGAAATAAAACATTATCAAAAAAAGAGCACTACAAATATTACAAATGCAGCTGAAGTCCTCTGGGGCCCTCTCCAAACACGATTCTCCCTCTACTCCCCAGGGGTAACCTTTTTTTTTTTTTTTTTTGAGCTGGAGTCTTGCTGTGTTGCCCAGGCTGGAGTGCAGTGGCACGATCTTGGGTCGCTGCCGCCTCCACTTCCCAGGTTCAGGTGATTCTCCTGCCTCAGCCTCCTGAGTAGCTGGGATTACAGGCGCTTGCTACCATACCCGGCTAATTTTTGCGTTTTTAGTAGAGACAGGGTTTCACCATGTTGGCCAGACTGGTCTCGAACTCCTGACCTCAAGTGATCCACCCACCTCAGCCTCCCAAAGTGCTAGGATTACAGGTGTGAGCCACTGCACCCAGCCCTCCCCGGGTAACCTTATACTTACACTACATTTGGTGTTTATTTAAACTTAAGCATTTCTTTTTTTTTTTTTTTTTTTTTTTGAGACGGAGTCTCGCTTTGTCACCCAGGCTAGAGTGCAGTGGCCGGATCTCAGCTCACTGCAAGCTCCGCCTCCCGGGTTCACGCCATTCTCCTGCCTCAGCCTCCCACGTAGCTGGGACTACAGGCGCCCGCCACCTCACCCAGCTAGTTTTTTGTATGTTTTAGTAGAGACGGCGTTTCACCGTGTTAGCCAGGATGGTCTCGATCTCCTGACCTCGTGATCCGCCCGTCTCGGCCTCCCAAAGTGCTGGGATTACAGGCTTGAGCCACCGCGCCCGGCCATTTCTTAATATTTTTACCATATATTTCCATATCCCTAAACAAATACAGCATTTTTTAATATTCTGAAACTTGATATAAATGGTATTCTACTCCGCAGAGCCTTCTGCAGCTGACTTTTTCCTCAACAGTCTATTGTTCAGTGGTAAGATTTCACTACAGTGACACATGGAGCTCCAGGACATTCATCTTCACACCTGATAGTGTTTGTTATACGAACAGACCACAAGGAACATAGATACTCTTCTGCTGACATTTAGATTGTTCCCAACCATGCAGAAGTACACGCTATGGAGTGCTTCTTGCACTCACATGTAAAAGCCTCCCTAAAGGACTTCCTAGAAAGCGTGCCCAGCTCCAGCATGACCAGATACTTCTGGCAGCCATCTGTTAAGTGCAGAGAATCTTGTGTTTTCTATTCATGAAAAGAATCCGCATATATAATGTCTAAGAACACAGAATCTGGAACCAGACCACCTGGGTTCAAATCCCGATTCCACCATCTCCTTTGGCTTTGGAGAAGTGAATTAGCACCAGACCACCTGGGTTCAAATCCCGATTCCACCATCTCCTTTGGCTTTGGAGAAGTGAATTAGCACCTCTGTGACTCAGACTTCACATCTCTAAAAGGCCACAGTATATGCACAAGTTCACAGCAGCATTATTCCTGGTAGTCAAGAGGTGGAAGAACCCAAGTATCCATCAGCAAATGAAGGGATAAACAAAACGTGGCATGCATATACAATGCAATACTGTGCAAACTTAAAAAACAAAAGAAGGAAATTCTCACATATGCCACAATGTGGATGAACCTTGAGTGCGTTATGCTAGGTGAAATAAGCCAGTCACAAAAGAACAAATACGTGGCCGGGCGCGGTGGCTCACGCCTGTAATCCTAGCACTTTGGGAGGCCAAGGTGGATGGGTCACCTGGGGTCAGGGGTTTGAGACTAGCCTGGCCAACATGGTGAGACCCCGTCTCTACTAAAAAAAAAAAAAATACCAAAAATTAGCCTGGCATAGTGGTGGGCACCTGTAATCCCGGCTACTCAGGAGGCTGAGACAGGAGAATCGCTTGAACCTGGGAGGGTGGAGGTTGCAGTGAGCCGAGATCACACCATTGCACTCCAGCCTGGGCAACAAGAGCGAAACTCTGTCTAAAAAAAAAAAAACCACACACAAAAACAAAAAAAAAAAGGAAAGAAAATCTAGGGTACAAAAGGCAGCAGCAGAATTCAACAGTAGAGGGTCCCAAACTTTCTCAGACCACAGGGTCCTTAGGGTTTTGGTAATTTTTTTCATGGTACTTAGGCCAAAATAAATACCTCACAGTTCCAATTAAGTATGTAGTTAGGGCCAAACAACTTAATCATTACTTATGTCCTGTCAACTCAGTGTCTGCTGGGCACTGCCAACTTCCCAAACCCTGCAATCAGACTGGACGCCACCAACTCCATTTCCAGTTCCACACTGATTTAAGAGATACTTGCTTTTTTATAAAACAAATATTTCTATTGATGCATGATAAATGTACATAAATACTTGTGTTTTATCGCAGCAATCGCCCAAAAGCCAGCTTTGTAGGCTTATGACATCATTGAAAAGAACTACAGGAATCTCAGAAACAGCCAACTACTTCAAACTGCAGTTTGCACTGTGTCCGACAGATGTCGCTCCTTCCCCCTAAAATTTAAAATAGCCTGCCTTGCCAGGACAACTTGGCACTAAGGGTGAGGACTCAGATCTCAATCCAAGCATCACTCCAGAGCCAAAACCATCTCCAAGAGAAACCATACATACAAACAAATTTTTTAAATTTGTTTTTGATTCCTTTATTGAGTCTTTTCTTAGTGGTACAATCTCAAAGCTGGTCAGCTGGATTTTATTGAGGAGATAAGACAGTGGCTTAAAGTAGAGGTTTCAACTCCTAAAAAAAACTCCTAAAGCTACCATTAATTGCAGGATCTCATTTGTTATTCACAACAGCACTTATATCTTAGGTTTTATGTTGTAATTGAGGAAACTGAGGCTTAGAAACAGTAAGTAGCTATCTCTAACTTCTGTCAGAGCCAAAAGTGCCTTAGCTGGCGTCTGAACCCAGCCTAACTCCAACACTGGCTGCATTCCAAGCTGTCTCATAATTTCTGAACTGACTAATCTCTAGCCAACATACAAGACTGCTCCAGAATCTCTAAAATTTTACCTTTTCAATCAAGAAAGACACTAGCTAATGATTAAATTCAATGATACTCAAGTAGTAGGGTCATTTACAGAAAAATTCATGAGTTACATAGTTGTTCATAAACTAGGGGACAAAAATCCATTTGCAATTTGTTAATATTCTTAGAGCCCACAATATTCTCTGAAAGAGATTAACCAATAAAAAAAAATGCTTCTTTTGGGTAAGAGATATTTAAATATTTGGGTTTTTTGTTCGTTTGTCTGTCGTTTGAGACAAGGTCTCACTATGTCACCTAGGCTGGAGTGCAGTGGTGCAATCATGGCTCACTGCAGCCTTGACCTCCTGGGTTCAGGTGATCGTCCCACCTCAGCTTTCCAAATAGCTGGGACTACAGGCACGCACCACTACACCCAGCTAATTTATTTATTTATTTATTTATTTTTTGTAGAGACAGGGTTTTGCCATGTTGCCCAAGCTATTTATATTTTAAATGGGAACAAAGCAAAGAACTCTAACCCCTATGAAGCATGTAGTTCTTTAAATCCAAGTAAATCAGTAGGGTAAACAGTAAAAACTGTTCATGATAGTTATGTCTTTTTTTTTTTTTTTTTTTGAGACAGAGTCTCATTCTGCCACCCAGGCTGGAGTGCAGCTGCACGATCTCGGTTCACTGCAACGTCCACCTTCCAGGTTCAAGCGATTCTCCTGCCTCAGCCTCCCAAGTAGCTGGAATTACAGGCACATACCACCACATCTGGTTGTTTATATTTTTAGTAGAGACAGGGTTTCACCATGTTGGCCAGGCTAGTCTCAAATTCCTGGCCTTAAGAGGTAGATGTGAATCCGCCTGCCTCGGCCTCCAAAAGTACTAAGATTACAAGCATGAGCCACCGCACCCAGCCCATTTATGATACTTATATCCAAGTGGTGGCATTAGTCATACTTTTGTGTTCAATTTGTAATTGCTAAATTCTCAACAATCAAGGTATTTTGTTTTATAAAGAACAGTCCATTTGTTCCTTTTTCTAAAACTCTTGATTTATTCTGAGTTTTTTCTTAATGGGGGCCATGTATGCTAAAGAGTAGATGTACCAAGAAATGTATTTATTTTCAATACTGTTCCCATGTACACTTTTATTAATAACAACAATAACAAAAGATAGTAAAGAAATCTACTTTGGACAGAACTATAGCTTAATTCTTTTAGAGACTGAAAGAGAATATACTGCAGGCTTCCAAGTGGCCACAAATTGATTCTCACAGTGGCCACCAGGGGTCCTTACCCAGCTGCCTCGTCCAAGTCACTCACCACAGTAGTAAGCTGCAAGGCCTGGCCAGTTCTTGTGCAGCCATGACTGGTTTTGTGTAAATATTAACTTTCTCTCTCTTTGATTCAAGCAGTTCACTGGAATGACTAGTAAGCCTCCTTGTGCAAAGTCACAATATACAGTTTCAGAGAAAAGAGAATGTTCTCGTACAGCAGTTTTAAAGTGCATTATTTTAAGGCCAGGTGCAGTGACTCACGCCTGTAATCCCAGTGCTTTGGGAAGCCAAGGATTGCTTGAGCCCAAGAGTTGAAGACCAGCCTGGGCAACATAGCAAGATCCTGTCTGTATAAAAACAAAAATACAATACAATACAATAAAATGCATTATTTAGAGCCCATATCCCAAAATTGTGATTCAGCAGAGCTGGGATGGGACCAAAGATGCCGCATGTTTCACAGCTCCCCGGGTGATGAAGATGTGCAGCCAGAGGTGGGAACTACTCTCTACTATTAATAGATGGCACCAGCACCCTCTGTGGCATAGGGAACAATTCAGATTGCTGTTTCCATTCCCAACTTACCATCACCATGAAATAGAAAAGAACCCAAATGTCAGCCTTAGTTACTCAGTCAACACGAGATAATATGATGTGAATATTAATGATGGGCCAATAAATGTTTCAGTTGCAAACTGGATAAATCTACCAATCCTGTGCTAACATAAGAATTTTAATCTCCCTAAATAATCCTTGGATTCCTCAAATTTTTATTCAGTTTCTGTGGAACCATAAACCAATTTAGAAGCAAATTCGTGAGCGTCCATGTAGAGTCATGGGTATTTAAATTCTGAACCTTAATAAAACCATAAGTCAGCTCTGCCATTAAAAACTCCACTTACCTTTGCTGTTTCATAAGAGAGTCAAAACCAACAGTCTCCACAGGTTTATTTCCAAGTGTAACAATTTGTTCTTTTCTATCTTCCTCTGGTCCATCTTCTAACACATAGCGGTTCTTAATTGCAGTAAGAAAGTCTGTTCCAAAATTTACCTTATTCGGACGAATAAAGGATCCTCCTGTTGGGTGCCTGGTAAGGAACAGCGAATGAAACACACAAAATATTACCCACCAAGAAAGGCCATAAATGCAATGTTCTGAAGGTCTCCAAAAATTTATGTATGCTAAAAAATCAAAATTAGCATAAAAGAGAATATCACATACTAAATAATATATAATCAGTATGACTGACCATAAAGGGTTATGATTTTATGCAAGCATGTTAAATCCCTCTAGATAAACTAACAAGTAATATGAAACTGATAATTCACACTAGAAAAAACAGAACTATTCAATCCATGGGAGTGGCCAGGCATGGTGGCTCACGACTGTAATCCCAGCACTTTGGGAGCCCAAGGCGGGTGGATCACCTGAGGTCAGGAGTTCAAGACCAGCCTGGCCAACATGGCGAAACCCTCATCTCTACTAAAAATACAAAAATTAGCTCGGCATGGTGGTGCACACCTGTAGTCCCAGCTACTCGGGAGGCTAAGGCAGGAGAATTGTTTGAACCCAGGAAGTGGAGGTTGCAGTGAGCCAAGATCATGCCACTGCACTCCAGCCTGGGTGACAGAGCGAGACTCTATCTAAAAAAAAAAAAAAAAAAAAAAAAAAAAAAAAAAAAAAAAAAATTATAGGTGGATTATATACAAAATCTTTTATTTATTTATTTATTTATTTATTTATTTTTTGGTAACAGAGCGAGACTTTGTTACTTAAAAAAAAAGAAGAAGAAAACAGGGAACTCTATAAATTGCTCAAAATTGTATTATAAACACTATTTCAGGCCAGGCGCAGTGGCTCACAACTGTAATCCCAGCACTTTGGGAGGCCGAGGCAGGCGAATCACGAGGTCAGGAGATTGAGACCATCCTGGCTAACAAGGTGAAACCCCGTCTCTACTAAAAAATACAAAAAATTAGTCGGGCATGGTGGCGGGTGCCTGTAGTCCCAGCTGCTCAGGAGGCTGAGGCAGGAGAATGGTGTGAACCTGGGAGGCAGAGCTTGCAATGAGCCGAGATTGCACCACTGCACTCTAGCCTGGGCGACAGAGTGAGACTCCGTCTCAAAAAAAACAAAACAAATAAACAAAAAAAACCAAACACTATTTCAGCTTACGATCATTACTTTTTTTTTTTTTTTTTGAGACAGAATCTCACTCTGTTGCCCAGACTGGAATGCAAGGACGCAATCTTGACTCACTGCAACCTCTGCCTCCTGGGTTCAATCTACTCTCCTGCCTCAGCCTCCCAATTAGCTGGGACTACAGGCATGTGCCAATATGCCCAGGCTAATTTTTGTATTTTTAGTAGCGACAGGGTTTCACCATGTTGGCCAGGCTGGTCTTGAACTTCTGACCTTAAGTGATTCTCCAGCCTTGACCTCCCAAAGTGCTGGCATTACAGGTGTGAGCCACCAGGCCTGACCTAATTTTGTTTTTTATTTTTTTTTAAAGAAAGTGGGTCTCATTCTGTCACCTAGGCTAGAGTGCGGTGACGCAACCATAACTAACTGCAGCCTCGAATTTCCAGGGCTCAGGCAATGCTCCCTCTTCAGCCTCCCACGTAGCTAGGACTATAGGCATAAGCAACCATGTCCAGCTAACATTTTTTGTATTTTCTTTAAGAGACAACATCTCACTATGTTGCTCAGGAGACAACCATTAACTCTTGAAGAAAGAAATCAGACGTTCTTAGAAGTCACCATAATTTTGGCCAGGCACGGTGTCTCATGCCTATAATCCCAGTACTTTGGGAGGCTGAAAAGGGCAGATCACCTGCGGTCGAGAGTTCAAGACCAGCCTGACCAACAAGGAGAAACTCCATCTCTACTAAAAATACAAAATTAGCCAAGCGTGGTGGCGCATGCCTGTAATCCCAGCTACTCGAGAGGCTGAGGCAGGACAATCACTTGAACCCGGGAGGTGGAGGTTGCAATATGCCAAGATCACGCCATTGCACTCCAGCCTGGGCAACAAGAGCAAAACTCCATCTCAAAAAATAAAAATAAAAAAAGTCACCATAATTGAAAAGGATGAAAACTAGTATTTGTGATAAATTTTGTTAACATAGACATACATACAGTTTTTTCTAGGATGTGGGTTCACAGTGATGACCAGACTCTAAAAGGAACTTGTGATCCCAAAAAGTTAAAACCAATCCCCCAACTGGGAAGAAGTGGCCAGGAGGGAGTTAGAAACTTAGAGAGTGTGGGCCAGGTGCGGTGGCTCACCCCTATAATTCTAGCATTTTGGGAGGCTGAGGCGGGCAGATCACCTAAAGTCAGGAGTTTGAGACCACCCTGGTCAACATGGTGAAACCCTGTCTCTATTAAAAATACAAAAATTAGCCGGGCGTGGTTGCTGGTGACTGGAGTTTCGCTACTTGGAAGTATGAGGCAAGAGAATCATTTGAGCCGGGAGGTGAAGGTTGCAATGAGCCAAGATCACATCATTGCACTCTAGCCAGAGCAATAGATAGAAACTCGCGGAGGGGAGGGGAGGGGAAGGGAAACTCGGAGAGTGTGGTGTCCTGGAAGCCAATGAAGAAAGTCAACAACCATGTCCACTGCTAAAAACAGGTCAGGTAAGGTAACAGCTGAGGCCTGGCCACTGAATCCAGCAACATGAACATAACCTTTCCTACAAGCAGTCTGGGTGGGGCAATCGGGCAAAGCCCAGTGGGGGTGAGTTCCAAAGACTGGGAGGCAACTGAGCACAGCCTACCGTTGTCCTGAAGGGGCACAGGGGTCAAAGAAGGGAGACTGTTTAAGACAGGAGAAAATATCCACCTTGTATGTTGATGAAATTAATTCCATGGAACAGGGGGAAGCTGATTATGCAGGAAATTAAAATCTCCTTTGTAGCAAAATTAAGTCCCATAGTTCTCTCATGGCTTATACACACACATCAGTGGTTTGTTTCTGTAAGTTAAACTTATTTCTTAAGTTAAAAGCCTAGTTTACTGGCTGCTCTGCCTATGGAGTAGCCATTCTTTATTCCTTTACTTTCTTAATAAATTTGCTTTCACTTTATGGATTCCCCTCAAATTCTTTCCTTTGCAAGATTCTAGAACCCTCTCTTGGGGTCTGGATCAGGCCCCTTTCCGGTAACATCTCTTTGGCGAACCACAGAAAGGATAATACTGAGGAGACCCGCCCCCCAGCCCAAAGGAAATAGACTGCAGCACTGACTGGGTGACCTTGGGACACAATTGGAGAAACTGGTTATTTTACCAAGGTTTTAACTGGAATGGTGTGTGTTCCTTTAAGGAATCAAACTTGGCTTATAGAGTCAATAAAAGCCCCTTGGGAAAACTGGCCTCATTCCTTGTCTACACAGTTCCTGACCTGTGTCCCACAGGCCTATGGAACACAAAAGAATGATCCCACCTATTCCTGTGAACCAACCAGTGATCTCTGGCTGCTGCTCAGAAGAAACAAGAGAGATGGGTAATGTTATTCTAATTCTGGGCACATATTGGAATTGGCTAGTGACTACTTATTAGCTTGATTTCAACAACTGCGCAGTTCATGGAAAACCTTCTAATTTAGTTTACTTGGGATAATTTTACTTTTTTCATTTTGCTGTTGTGAAATATATTGCTGTGATTATACTCTTTGTGTAGGAATGCAGGATAAGCTTACTAAATGTTTTCTTCAACTGAACACTTAGTAATCTTCCAGATATCACCTTTTGTCGGAACTCAAGAGTTAAGAATGGCCTTCGCTGGCCGGGCGCGGTGGCTCAAGCCTGTAATCCCAGCACTTTGGGAGGCCGAGGCGGGTGGATCACGAGGTCAGGAGATCGAGACCATCCTGGCTAACATGGTGAAACCCCGTCTCTACTAAAAATACAAAAAACTAGCCGGGCGTGGTGGCGGGCGCCTGTAGTCCCAGCTACTCGGAGGCTGAGGCGGGAGAATGGCGTGAACCCGGGAGGTGGAGCTTGCAGTGAGCCGAGATCGCGCCACTGCACTCCAGCCTGTGCCACACAGCGAGACTCCGTCTCAAAAAAAAAAAAAAAAAAAAAAAAAAAAAGAATGGCCTTCGCCATACCAACGCTTTTGAACTGAGCTCCTCTCTACCCTGAATGCAAGAGACCCAACAGTTAGGCAGGGACATCATCACCCCTGTTCAGCATAAAGAAGTTACAGAAGGTGAATCTTCATCCCTCTGCAACCCTTAGGATTAGGGTTTTCTTGTAAAAGGAAGGGGGGAAATATGTCAGAGATGTCTGAACCAGAGCAACTCCATCTTGAATAGGTGCTGGTTAAAATAAGGCTGAGACCTACCAGGCTGCATTCCAGTTTGTTAGGCATTCTAAGTCTCAGGATGAGATAGGAGGTCGGTACAAGATACAGGTCATTAAAGACCTTGCTGATGAAACAGCATGCAGTAAAGAAGCCAGCTAAAACCCACCAAAACCAAGACGGAGATTACAGTGACCTCTGGTCATCCTCACTGCTACACTCCCACCAGCGCCATGACAGTTTACAAATACCATGGCAACATCAAGAAGTTACCCTACATGGTCTTAAAAGGTGAGGCATGAATAATCCATCCCTTGTTTAGCATATCATCAAGAAATAACCATAGAAATGGGCACCCAGTAGTCCTCAGGACTGTTCTGCCTATGGAGTAGCCATTCGTTATTCCTTTATTATTATTTTTTTTTTTTTGGAGACGGAGTCTCACTCTGTTGCCCAAGCTGGAGTGCAGTGGTGTGATCTTGGCTCACTGCAACCTCAGCCTCCCAGGTTGAAGCAGTTCTCCTGCCTCAGCCTCCTGAGTAGCTGGGATTACAGGCATGCAACACCACGCCTGGCTAATTTTTGTATTTTTATAAATACAAGAGAAAAGGTAGAGAAAAGGTCTCGCCATGTTGGCCTGGCCGGTCTCGAACTCTTAACCTCAGGTTATCTACCTGCCTTGGCTTCCCAAAGTGCTGGAAGTACAAGTAAGCCACCACGCCTGGCCCTTTTACTTTCTTAATAAACTTGCTTTCTCCTAAAAAAATCCTAGTTAACATAT